TTCTTCAGGGTCTAGTCCATGATTTTGGCAGGATGTATGCCGGGGCATACGTCAGCCTCAGTGCTTCCTCGGGAACAGGTGGGACGCGGTCTGTGCCCTGGCTGCCACAAAGCCCAGCTCCTTTTTGGCCAAGAACAACATCCAGGGAAGGCCAGGGGGCTTCTGAGCATTTAATTTTCCCTGTATTGCCAGCCACAGAGAATAACAGCTACCTACCTCACTTGACAAGAAAAAGTGGGGACTTATTCCCAGCAGCATCCCCTCCTTACTCTCCTACTTGGCTACCCCCCAGCCCCTGCCTCTTGTCCCCCCAGCCCCGTTTCAACTGGAGGAGAGTGGGTGAGTGCCCATGACAATCCCACCAGCCCGGCTGTGGGATCTCCTGCTCTCAGCTGGGATCCCGTGGAGCGGGCTGCCGCTCTTGCAGTGCCGTTGCCCAGCCGGTGCGGCCGAACAGGGATTGCCGGGGCGGTGTGGGAGCAAGCAGGAGGTGATGTTGTCACCTTTCCGTGCCTCTTCCCGACTTTGTCATCCCGGGGACCTTTGTGCAGATCCCATTTTTATCTGTGTTTTCTCCCTCTCTCTCTTTCTCTCCTTCTCTCTTGCTTTCTTCTCTCCCCCTCCCGTCAGTATGTGGGCTGATCACTGCTCAAACTTTTAATTCAGATGGTAATTGGAATAATAATACGGGCAGAATCCTTCTGGCTCCGTTGCTGCAGCTGGCTTCAGAGAGCTATGAATAGCTCTGAGTCACACACTGAGATGGTTTAACTTCAAATCATTTTGTTTTGTTTTCATATTATCCATCCCCAGGCTCCAGGGCTTCATGGGAGGGAAAAAAAAAATGCTCCCCTCTCACTTCACCCCAAAATATAAACTGGGCAGAGGCACGTTAATAAAATCCTCTTTTGGAGAGAGAAGCTGGTCAGCGGCTCGTGCCTTGCGGGGCAGATGGGGACTGTTGGCACTCACTCGATCTATTTATAATTATTGAACGAAAAGGCAGAAGTGTGTATATAAAAATGGTATGGAGTTGATTACAGCTTCCTCCCCTCACCTTCCATATGTCACTTGCCTTTTTAATATGGTAAAACTCTCCCGCACGGTGACTTGTGCCTTCGCGCCTGTTCGTACAGCTCCTAGCACCCAGCCCCGCTGGGCACAGAGGAGCGAGAGCTTGGCCACTGCCTCTTGCAGCGAGATGGTCCCACAGCTCCGATCAACCCTACAAGCCCTGGCATGAACACCGGGGAGTATTTGTGAGGAAGAGGATACGAGACGGAGTTACAAAGAGGATGGAGAGGACAAACCGAATGCTGTGGGTCTGCGAGGCTCTGCAAAAAGCCAAAGGGGTCCCCTCTCTGCTGCGGATGTTTCCACCCTGAATACCCAAGAGGTGAGAAGACGTCAGCCGTGTTGTCACTGCACCCGAGCGGCAGGATGGATCTGTGGATGCTGATCTCAAAACCAGGCGGTGCCACCCAGTTGGTAAGAGGAATAAAGGCACGAAGTGCGGCACAACCAGCGGCTGCGGCATTGACCACAGACAGGAGGGAAGCATTTGCCAGACGGCTCCAGATAAAGCAAAGACTAAGGGTGTAAAAATACCCTGGGATTTTTCCATCATCGTTGCTCACGGTGTATGTCCCAGAGCACCAGATACGGTTGTTATAAAAAGAGAAGTGGGGGAGTGCTTCGGCGTGGACTTTTCTGTTCTGTTTCATGAGACTCTTCCACCACAAATTTAAAGAAAGATTGTCAAATATGATCCGTTCTGGCAGGGGCTGGAGAAAGCCTGAGATGTTCAAGCTATACCGTGTACTGGGATGAAGTGATGGAGGCATTACATTAGCACCACACTCCCTGATGTTACTATTAGCTCGCAGATCCCTTGGAAAGTGATGGTAGCAGCCTGGCCCCACGTGTCTGCTTGTCTGGTGCAGTGGCTTGTGCCACTGGAGCATGGTGTCACCCGGGAAGGTGGGGATGACTGCAGCACAGTGTTGGTGTCCCCAACATCACTCAAACTAGGGCGCAGGAGTTTGGGAAGGAGGGAAGGGCAGCCCAGGCTGCAGGGCTGGAGGCAGCTGTTGGTCCCTGGAGACTCACCTGGCCGACAGCTTCAACACTGCAAAACAGGGACTGTGATGCCCATGCTGCAATGGCTTCCTAAAGTGCCAGGGGGCCTCCTCAGGCCATGAAATGTGTGGGTGTTCATGTATGCTGGGGACAGGAGGGATGGAGAGGCATCTCTCAGGACCGCAAGTCTCCTGCCTAGCATCTCCCAGTATGGCCCACGCTGCACCCACTGGTGGTGTTTCATCCCACTCCCCAGGAGTGGCTGCTGACTCCCCAGCTTCCTCTGTGCACATGTGGCTCCCAGGAGGCAGTGCAAGCTCCAAGAAAGATCCTTGGGCATGCTCTGGAGTTCTCTCACGCACCCCTGTGCTCAGCCAGGCTTCCCTCCCCCTGGTCTGTACAATAGGCAGCTGCCTGTTCAGGACAGGAATGGCATCCCCTTTTGCTGGAGGCATCGCCCCTTCATAGAATCATAGAATGGTTAGAGTTGGAAATGACCACAAAGATCATCTAGTTCCAACCCCCCTGCCATGGGCAGGGAAACCCTCCACTACACCAGGTTGCTCAAAGCCTCATCCAGCCTGGCCTTGAACACTTCCAGGGATGGGGCATCCACAACTTCTCCGGGCAACCTGTTCCACTGCCTCACCACCCTCTGAGC